ATTATTCTATTTCATCTTTGTACTCATTGCTTACTTAGAAAGCATCAAGATTAGATAACTGTTAAAATCAAATTCTGTTGCTTTGTTATTTTTTTTCATTTAATGTTACTAATAGAACTGGCAAAACAGATGTTTTCAGATATTATGCAAAAGTGGATAAGAGAGTTAAAATTTAAAAGCAGAATGAAGTTTAGGAAGCAAACATAAAATGGGAGAGAAAAGCAGTATCTGTGAGTTCTTCGAATCTCTTAATGGAACATATGGTATTTCCCCTCCCCCCACAAATAAGGCTAATATCTCATATGTACTTTGTCAGTGATGAGGAGTTTATCTGTGGAGAAAGGATTTATTAAGCAAATTGAGAGAAACACATGGTCAATTCTAAACTAATTGAGAATAAACTACTTTCATGTATTTTTACACTATTTGTGAAAAAGAAGCAGTAGCATAATTACAATAGAATCTCACATTCTCATTAAAGCAAGCCTAATGGCCTTCTCCACTATCCCACACTCACCTCTTGGTTTGAGTAATAAATGCTCATAAAGATACTCTATGTCTTAACTAATTCAGACCACCCCTCTTCAACAAAAATTAACATGTTAAATTATTTTTGAGTTGCACAAACTATTGTCATTATAAAATATTTGAAAAATCTTTAAAATTGAACAGTTAATCATTAAAATGTAGCTGAAGAAATACTTCAGGGCCAACTTTTTGTCTAACAAACTAGCAAAAAAAATTTAATACTATCAAGTGGGGTGCAAATCCTAAGAACTCATTCTCAAATGACACAGCTGCAAGTGCAAATTAGTACAACTTTCTGAAGAAGTGGACTTTATAAATCATTAGTATATTTACATAAGAATTGTAATAACAATATGCATAAAAATCCTTCAAATATTAATATTTTTGCCTTAGCAGTCCCAATTCTGAGAATTTACACTAAGGAAATAATCAGAAAGTATGTATAATAAGTAAAAACAATTGCTATACTTTATTGAGTACATATTATACGTTACAGGTACTCAGTGTTACTTTACATAAATTACCATATCATTTAATTCTCATAATAACCCTAAGAAGCAGCTATGAATATTACCTTCACTCATAGCTGAGAAAAATAAGCTTATAAGGTAAGGAACTTGTTCAAGGTTATAGAGTAAAACTCAGATCTATGTGAATCCTAAGTCCAAATTCTCACTTATAACATGCTAATATACCGAAGAAAAATCTAATAAGAAATAGTGGTTTCTCTAGGTTGGTAATTCTATAGAATATTATTTATAATTGTGAAAAACCAACCTGGGTCAACCTGGATACAACTTAAATGTGCAACAAAGTGGGACTATTTAAAGGGTTACTATATAGCTATTAATTTAACATAACATCGAGATACATTTTAGTGATATTTTTAAAAGTTCTTAATATCTTGAGTGAAAAAAAATCAGGTTTAAAGCAGTATATTTCCCCAGGTGTGGAGGTAATCCCAGTTATTCAGGAGGCTGAGACAGGAGGATTACAAGTTTGAGGCCAGCCTCAGCAACTTAGTAAGACTCTGTCTCAAAATAAAAAATAAAAAGGGCTGGAGATGTAAATCAGTAGTAAGTTAGTAAGTGCCCTTGGGTTCAATCCTCAGTATGTATGTATGTATGTATGTACGAACGTTTTATATATATATATATATGAATGAACGAACGAACGAATGAATGAATAATAGTATGTCACTGGATGTGGTGGCACAAATCTGTTAAATCCCTGCTACTTGGGAGGCTGAGGCAGGAGGATCATAAGTTTGAGCCAGCCTGAGGCAACTCAGGGAGACTCTATCTCAAAAGAAAATAAAAAGGAATAGGGATATAGTTCAGAGATAGAGCACTTGCCGAACATGTGCAAGCCCATGGGTTCAAAACTGCAAAAAAAATTAAAACCAACAAAAAACAGTATGTTCAATGTGATCCCCAATACAGTGTGTGTGTAGAAAAAAAGAATTGAAGAAGATAGGTATTTATGCTTTTCTGTATTTTCTAAATTATTTTTGTAATTAGGAAAAGCTATATTTTGGGGGTAGCACTTAGAAGGAAAGAAATATTTTCTCCAGGATGATAAAACATTATAAATCATTTGTGCTCTGAAAAAAAAAGTTAAAAACATTTTCTTCCCACTGAAAATGTAGAGAGGAGAACAGTGGTGGGAAGTAGACTACAATAACTAAAGAATGGCATTTATATTTCATTTTCAAAAACAACTTGGAAGACTGAGCATCTTTAGACTGGTTTGAGCCCTCAGGCTTTTGTCAACCTATCATTAGGTAACAATGTGAAAGCTATTTGCAGGGAAAGATTTTGTAATATTTCTAATATATTTCTAAGACACCTATGCTTCATTCTTTTTTCTGTTCTGAACTTTAGTTACAGGGAATCATATTTTTCCCCCTGAGGAAAACCAAAAAGTCTAATGTGAATTTATTATACTGCTGAAGCAGAAATAATTTTTGTAACTTTAAGAGTACATGGATGATCCAGACAGTGAATCATGAATTGAAATGATTTTGAATAAGCTTGTATAGACACTTATTTTTATATTCTTTAGCCTTCTACTCATCTAAAACTCTACCTTGAAAGGCTTCAACAATTTAAAGATTAAATCATAAGTTATTAAGCCATTAATTTAACCATTTAAGCCTCTAAAATCAGCATATATTACCTTCCCCCCTCAAGTCAATTTGCAAGAGATTAAATTAATAAAAATGATAATATCTCACACTCACAAAGAAGCTTTGATCTGCAGAAGCCTAAAGTACTTTTTAAAAACTTTATAGAAAAACTAGGCCTATCCACCCACATCCCACAGTACATCTGAGGTAGAAGCTGGCAGCTGGTGAAAAGCAATGGAGCGTCTGCAGGGAAGACTACCACTTTTGAACAAGCACAGGAGCAGACAGTGTAGGGAAATGCAACAGAATTAGCTTCTCAATTAAATAGGGAAATTCAAAAGGCTATTATTTAAATTTTCACTAGGAGTGGCTTAAGGGAAAATAAAAACCAGAAAATAAGGACTGGAAAATACCTTAGTGGTAGACAGCTTGCCTACCATGCTTCAGGTCCAGGGTTTGATCCCCATCACTGAAAAATAACAAAGACAGACAGACCCCACCTACTCTCAGGAGTTACTAGTCATGTTTATTCTCTGCAGATATTCCTGAGAAGGACAGATACTACCCAGAAATAGAGTGAACTATGATAGTCTGAGGTCTTTCCATGGCTGGCAACTTTCCTCTCTCATTCACACCCAATTTGAAAGATCTTTATATAGAATATTAACTATTTTGGGGGGGAGCATTCTGGGGATTGAACCAAGGACCTCACACATGCTAGGCAAGCACTCTATCACTCAGCTACACCGCCAGCCCTAGAGTATAAATCTTGCCATTTCAGGGCTTGTGGCTCAGAATCTGCTTCTTCCATCTACTGCAAGTACCCATCACCAACAATTTTCTGCAACCTACAAAAACAAGAGACTAACTTCTTAAACTTCGATTTGGAGGAGTCTGGGATTTTGGAATGGGTTTTTCCTTTTTAGTCCCTTTCCTAACAAAAAACTAAAGCACTTCTACCATCTGGGGTAGGTTAGAAGTGAGGGCCTATGAGTAAGATCAAAGAACACCCAGAATCATGTTTAGTAGGCAGCACTCAGTTTTCAGGATTTTCTTCCCCATGTCTTTTACTTTTATCAATTCATATGAATAAAAGATCAAGCATAAAAAAGGTTTAAATCAAAGAAATACTTTAGTTGGATATAAAATATAATTTCCTCACTGTCTGTTTGGTAGGATGTCAAATTAGCCTACCAATGACAACATTGAAACATTGACTACCAAGTGAGACAAATAGGTAGAGTCTTCATTGTGAGACTTTCAAAAAGGTGTTTTGTTTTGTTTTGTTTTTGAGCAGTAGTCTATCTTAGATAACCTGCTTGTCACTTTCTTTTTTTTTTTTTTTTTTAAAAGAGAGAGTGAGAGAGGAGAGAGAGAGAGAGAGAGAGAGAGAGAGAGAGAGAGAGAGAATTTTTTTTAATATTTATTTTTTTTTAGTTCTCGGCGGACACAACATCTTTGTTGGTATGTGGTGCTGAGGATTGAACCCGGGCCGCACGCATGCCAGGCGAGCGCGCTACCGCTTGAGCCACATCCCCAGCCCCTCACTTTCTTGAATATAAGAGAGATGGACCAGATGATCTTAATGTCCTTTCAGCTCTAGGATCCTATTCGATGTTGTTTTAGCTTCACTGATGGTTCAAAGTAGCCATATTAAGAAAGTGTTAAATGGGGAAAAGAAGATTGAGGACTGAGTTAAGTTGTCAAGCAGACTCTATTACCTAACATACAATCATCCTTTTGTAGGGATTCTTGGGAATATCTTCCCAATGATCACCTCTTTTCTTTCCCAAACTATCCAATCAACTTAATTGGCCTTCAACTGTTCAACTTGATACATAAATAAAAGAACTTAAAAGAAATCCTATATGAGTTTGCTCTACTCCACCTGAATACTCTTAACAATTCTTCTTTTAATCAAGTTGATATAAAGTTAAGAAATGAAAATTAATCTTAAAATGTACTAAACAAAAAAGATAATTTAAAAGGTAGAGACACCCTTAATAAAAATGTATTACAGAGGCTAGGGTTGTGGCTCAGTGGTAGAGCGCATGTCTCACACGTATGAGGCACTGGGTTCAATCCTCAGCACCACATAAAAATAAATAAATAAAGATATCATGTCCATCTACAACTAAAAAAAAATTTTTAAAAATGCATTACAAAGTTAAAAAAACAAAAACAAAACAGTTAATGCCCCTCCCTTACAAGTTATGCTGATAATTTTATTTCATTTGAGAAGAACAGTGTACAAAGGCAGATATATGCATGTATATACATGTATGTACAAGCACACACACATCTAAGGGACAGGAAATTAAAATAAAATTACAAATCTTGATACCTTCTTCATGGCCTGACACTTGGCTGTCTCAGAAAAGCCAATCATCTTATCAGGAGAACAGATCTTGATGAAGGGGAAGTTGGATTCCTCTGCGATCTTTGCAGCTAATGCAGTCTTCCCACTATGAGGAGGGCCTGCATAAAGATATGAACAAGTCAGAGGAAAAAAAGCCAACCTAAGCAAAGGAGAATCAAACAAGTTTAAACTTTGATCCACAATGTACTGAGGTCTCAACTAGTTGCTCATTAACATTTCCTGACACAGTTTCATGGCAGACATGTTTCCTTTTATTTATTAGCAACTAAACTTAATGATCTGATTAGCATTTTTTAAAAGTATGGTAAAATAACATGCCTTCTTGCTTTTTCACATTGCCTTAATCTTTAAAAATTCTCACTGTGTTTATAAAGTGCCAGGGTTTTGTTTCTTAAAAGAGAGAAAGGTGGGAGGGAGAGAATGTAATGCCTATCAGCACTTGTGATATTAGTTCTATCAAATTGTTTAACAAAAAATACTATCGTGTTAGGAGATGATATTGTGATTAGGGAAAAACTGCCTTATTATAAGTAAATGTTCTATAAAAAGATAGAATTCTAAAGACACAGGCCTTATCTAAAGGCAACCAAATCTACAAATTTACCTGCATTTAGACAACCCTTCCCTCCCCTCATGTGTATTGGAAGATACGTCCCTCTTCCAACCATAAACCAATAAATTTTTCCCTACCATCTTCTCAGGAACCTGACATTATCGACCCTTCCTCGTTCCAATATGTTTAGCTGCTTCCTCTTCCCTGAAGCTTTTTCAATAGTGTTAAACATAATCTGATCTGACAGTTAAAAAAAAAAACAAACACTCTTTCTGGACTTCATTCCACTCAACAATACCCTTCAAAATGGAACTTCCCTAAACAATCATCTCCATTGGCAGCTTCACTCTTCATCTTTCCTTCATCTGTTCATCACCACCAACCATACAGCTTCCACTGCATGACATGATCAGGCTCCCATCAATGATCTCGGTGCCACCAATCAAGAGAGATATTTCATCTTTGTTGACCTCTTAGAAAATTTGATACAACTTGTAACTTCCCTCTTTCTTGAAACACCTTTCCATTTCTGGCTTCTGAGACAGCATGCTCTCCCTTGGCCCCTTACCCCCAAACAAGACTCTTGCTCAGTCTCCTTTGTCAGCACTTCCCACTTTTTTTAGTCCTAAATTGTTAATGCACCTCAGAGATAAGTTCTAGGTCCTCTCTTTATCTCAACCCTCACCCCTTCTGTAAGTGACTTCATCCATTCCCATTTTTCAAAGTCAGTCTCCATAATGACAAATCATGAATCTATTGCCAGCTGGGCTACTCTTCTGAGTGCCAAGCCTACCTATGCAATAGGCTATTTGCCATTTCTTTTTTTTTTTTTTAATTTTTAATGTTTTTAATGTTTAGTTCTCGGCAGACACAACATCTTTGTTGGTATGTGGTGCTGAGGATCGAACCCGGGCCGCACGCATGTCAGGCAAGTGCACTACCGCTTGAGCCACATCCCCAGCCCGCCATTTCTAATTTAATTCTCCTACAGAAGCCTAGAATTTATTCAAAACTGAACTCATGATCTGTCTTCCTCAAACTGCTTCTTCACTAGTATTCCTAATCTTAGTAAACAGCACCATTTACCAGGTTCTATAATGCCAGAAATCTGGGAGTCATGTGTGATAACTGATATATGTATGATAACAAAACAATCAAACCAATATTTCCAAGCTTTAGCCCCCACAATTACAAGACAGGGATAACAAGAGCATCTATTCCCACAGAACTGACATTAGGCTTAAATGAGATAACTCATATAAAGTACTAACAGAGTGACTGGCAAATAGGAAGGGCTTGAAGAATGTTAACCCAATTATGGTTGAGAATTAATAATAATGATTTTGTCACACTTTGTTCTACCTCCTAGATATTTCTCAGATTAGCCCACTGGGCTCCAGCTCCACTCAATCAGCACTCATTAAGACAATGCAACTGCTTCTTTTTGATTTTCCATCCATTCTCCATGATGAAGCAATTATGATGATATTCTGAAAACACATATCTGCTCACATGACTTATTGCTTAAAACCCAACAAATGGCTTCCCATTGCCCCTAAGATGCAGTCTTTTTATTTTTTTTAGCTGTAGATGGACACAATACCTTTATTTTGTTTATTTAGGTTTTTTTTTTTTTTTTTTTTTTTTTAATGTGGTGCTGGGGATCAAACCCAGGGCCTCATGCATGCTATGCAAGTGCTCTACCAACTGAACCACAACTCCAGTCCCAAGATGCAGTCTTTAACATCGCCAGTGAGGCTTTGTAAGAAATGGCTCCTACATACACTTCTTCAGTTTATGTGTGGTGAATTTTTCTGTTTCCAGATCTTCTCTGCTCAGGGCTTTTTCACATGCTAGTCACTCTGCCTAGAACACCAATTACAAAGCCCAGCCAGCTTCTGTGCATCCTTTGGGTCTGGGCTTAACATGCTTCTCTCAAGGAGCCCTTGCCCTCTGACTTTTGAGGGAGTTAGGCTCCTGTCATCTGGCCTCACTGAATTTTTCTGTCCTCATACTAATCATAATTGTACATTAATTATTTGTGAATGGAATGTCCTTCCCCTGTTGTCTACTTGATAAAATCCTAACTAATCCTTCAAGGCCTAAATGAACCATCACTTCTGGTTTACTCTGACCACCCTTGGGCAAAATTTCTTGCATTAGCACACATCCTTACACACAAATGCTATAGTTAGGAATTTCTTTATAAGTCTTTTTCATGACTAGACTGAACGCTTGAGTGGAGATGCTTGAATGTCTCTATCTCCAGCAACTAAGTAGCCTAAAACACAGCAAGTATTCAGTAAATACTCTTGTAACTGAATGAGGTCTATTTAATACCAGAGAAATTTAGATACAATCCTACAAGAAAACTAATTGCTATCAGTAACACTCAATCCCAAGGAAATTTTAATTTGTGTATAATATTGGTATACAGACTGGGGAACTATTTTCAGATTATGAATAAGGTTTAGAGCTGAAAATCAATTCTGGAATGTGCTAAATGGCTTTTTAAAAGTGCTGCTGTTCTTAAATGTTTTAAGGCCATCTCATCATTCTTTCTCACCTTCTAAAAGGACGCTAACCAGTGGTGTGCGGTCACTGTTTTTAGTCTGCTGGACCAGCAGCTCCCCATCATCCAGAACTCGAGTAACTGGGTCACCCCATTTGATGATTCCATTCATAATATAACTTGCATAATCCTCTTGATTTGTGCCAAATGCCTAATGAGGGAAAGGATAATTTAAAGCATTTTGAACATTAGTATTAAAAAGTAAAATATTTAATTTCTCCACCATTGTGTTTATTTGTGCTTGGTTCTATTCCTCACCATATCTTCTCACAAGACTTTCAAGACAAGCAATACCTGACTAAGAAAAAAAAGCAAAATTGTTCCATTCCCCAGGGGCTTGAATGAAAACTGGTAATTAAATCATGTGTAACTCTTTTTTGGGGGGAGAGGGTACTAGGGAATTGAACTCAGGGTCACTCAACCATTGAGTCACATCCCCAGCCCTATATTGTATTTTATTTAGAGACAGGGTCTCATTTGAATTCACAATCCTCCTGTCTCAGCCTCTCAAACTGCTGGGATTATAGGCATGTGCCACCACACCCAGAAAATCATGTATAATTCTTAAGAGGACATATTAGATAAGAACCAAACTGGGTCTACATAAAGAATTGTACATGAGGGGCTGGGGTTGTGGTTCAGCGGTAAAGCACTTGCCTAGCATGTGCAAGACCCTGGGTTCGATCCTCAGCACTATAATAAAGGTATTGTGTCCAACTACAACTAAAAACAAAATATTAAAAAAAGAATTGCACATGGAATGATATACATATTTATACTGTGTCAAGGTCACTATCATCTTGCTGTAGTAAGCTGAAAATGTCACCATTGTCTGGACAGTTGGACATGTTTTATTTTATTTTATTTTTAAAGAGAGAGCAAGAGAGAGAGAGAGAGAGAGAGAGAGAGAGAGAGAGAGAGAGAGAGAGAGAGAATTTTTTAATATTTATTTTTTAGTTTTCGGTGGACACAACATCTTTGTTTGTAGGTGGTGCTAAGGATTGAACCCGGGCTGCACGCATGCGCAGGCGAGCGCGCCACCGCTTGAGCCACATCCCCAGCCCAGTTGAACATGTTTTATGGGTCCGATTTTTCTTTTTGTTTCTATGTTTTGCGCTAGGAGGTTGATTCAGTAATAAATATAAAACCTTCTGAAAAAAATAAAGTAAAATACTGAAAGGCATAAAAGATGAGTAAAAATTCCTACACACCAAGACTATTAAACACTATCTTGTATTAACGTTAAGTCTGAAAAGCCAAAACAAAAACAAAGAATTAGGGCCTGAGTTGTGGCTCAATGGTAGAGCACTTGCCTGGCATGCATGAGGCCCTGGGTTCAATCCTCAGCACCGCATATAAATAAATAAAGTGAAAGATCCATTTACAACTAAAACTAAAAATATTTTTTTTAAAAAAACAAAGAATAAAAGCCATCTTATAATTTCTCATTTAATGTTTTTACCCAATCAAAACAACAGCAAAAAAGCTACTTTAGATGACTTAATGGAATAAAAACAATAGATTCTAGGCTCAGATTCTACCAGAACCCAAATCCTCATAATCCCTGAGCAAATGAGTACATTCCAACATGCTTGTTTCTATAGAGTATATAGGTTGTAGTCATTCTGTCAAAAAAAAGAGAGAAAGTAATTAAGGTCTTAGAAATTAGAAATAGCTCAGCAGATAGAAATATTATCTTAACACTGACTATGTTAGGTGCTGTTGATTAAAATGGGAATACAAAATAGAAATTATGTGTCTACATCAAATTTGTGATAGGGGAGACAAGTAAAATGGTACCAAGGTAAGGATATATATGTAAATATAAGGTTTAGAATGAGATAGAAATGAGAAGCTGTGGCTGGGATATAGCTCAGTGGTAAAATGCTTGCTAGCACAAACAAGGCTCTGGGTTTAATCTCTAGCATCACACATACACATACACACACACACACAAAAAAAAAAAAAAAAAAAA